TGCTAAATTACTAAAACACAAAGTGGAAATGGTGGTGTGGATGCCATAGATGTGTAACACCTCAGGAGTAGGATCTTCTTGTATGTTGCTATATTATTGCTCTCTTGTAAGACTAAAAGCTTTTCTGTTACCTGTTGTTCTGTGTCAGATGTGGGTCTTTCAGCAGTGGTTATTAACAACTAGATCAGGGTCTTACCTTGTTCCTGTATTTTGTGTAAGCAGAATAAGTTGTTGGGGGGCTTTGCTTATTTGTCACAACAGAATATTCCTAGGAGGAATATGTGTAGGAGGCAATGTAAAGGGAAGCTTACAGCAAGGCATCGTTTTCTAACTGAATTGCTTGCCATTGAATTCCTGTAGCTACTTTGCTCGTCTCCAGCACCGTATGGGTTGTCAGAGCAAGAGTTACTGAAGATCAGATAGCCCTGAGTCCTACTATGTCCAGTATGGACATGTGGTCTCATAGTCTAGTATGGACTATGTCCAGTAGGCTTTTTTAAGGAAAAGTAGTTTTTGTTAAGTATGACTCTAAAGGTATTGTAATTGTATGGCATTTTGGAAGCTGAAAATGCCTGTGTGTAAGGAAGAATGTTACCTTGAGAATACTTTCTCAGATGGGTAGTTCTGAGCTAAATGCTTTACTCAAATGGAGTAAAATTTTTGTACCAAACAGCAGTAATGTAGCCAAGTCTGTTCTGATCTGTTTTCAGTGGCCTATTAATATGGTAAAAGAACAGCTTAAATATTTCAATAGTCTTTAAATCACTAGGCCTACTAAAATCAGCAGTGTTTAATATTATACCATTGTAATTTTTTTCATCTTTTCAGTACAACTGCCATCAGTTACAATAAATGAAGAAACTGGTTTATCAGAAGTTAATTTAAAACAGAAGAATCCTTTGATTATCAGAAAGCATCCAGTTGCCACATCATTTGCTATCTTTGATGAGTAAGCTCTTTAATTATTTCGTACTTATGAAAACAACTGTATGTAAAAGAAGTGAAAGACAGAGGATGCTACCAGTGATGTTTCTGCACCTCTTGGGCACTTCTGCTGGTGAGGAATGTGCAGTCTCGGGCCACTCTGGTTGAACTGACCTGCAGCTCTATGATAACCAATGAGTATGCAGAACAAAACTATGTCTGTCTGACTTTTCCCTGTGTCTTAAAGCAGAACTGGTTCCCAGCCTAAAAGATATGCTTAAAAGTATGGGAATAGGAATTGGGTTTTGTTTTTGCAGAATCTTTGAGATGAAAGAATGTTAGCAATGCAATCGATGTTTTAGAAGCCTATGTAAATAACTGATACAAAAGATGGTAGTTTTTGAGCAGCTTATACCAAGGATTTAGTCAACAGAGGAAGAAGTAACAGTCATTAGAACAACAGGACCTCTGGATATCTGAAAACATAATTACCCAAGATGACATGACCAGCACTCTTAAGCCATTGTTCATCTAGGTAAAGAATCTGATTATAAGAATTCAAAATTATCACATCTGATAACAAGACTCCTCACCTGAAATTATTTACTGGCTCTTCATTAGTCCATGTATGTTAAGTACGTGTTCTGCTGCTGTTCATAAGAAGTGCAGTTATTTATGGTGGTACCCATTTGAGAAGTAGAAGATGAGAGATATGATAATGCTCACTGTGGGTCTGAGTTAAGATTTAGGTGTATTTGGAGATGTCAGGGGTTTATGGCGTGGTAATCTGTATTTGCAGAAATGATTAATAGGCCCTTTCATTCAACTATAAGGTGGGGTCGAGGGAGCACAAAACTCAAATATTGACCAAGTGATTACCAAAATGAATCAAAGCAGAAAGTTATCAGTACTTTAAAGTGCTGCTGTTAACTGCTTTAATACCAGTTCTTGTGGGTCTGAAGTTTGATGTAGGCTGAAATTGAGAGTTTGGATAGCATGATAGGCAGGCAGTTGTCAGTAGGGTATCATCTGCACACAAATCATACATACTTACCAGTAGACAAAAAAGTTGCCTTTGGAAGCAAGCTTTCAGTGGCAGTCTGTTGGGCTTTGTTCCCTTCACTGAAACAGACAAGTTACTTGAGTCTCCCTTTCACTCCTAAAACTAAGTATTGAGGGGGTGCGTGGCTGTGTGTGCCTGTTGTGTGGGTTGGGTTGTTTTTTTTAAAATTCTGGTTTATTAGTTTATGGCTGTTGACACAGCCCTCTAAATAATACGCTTTACATACTGTGGCTTCCAGAGACGTTTTCCTTCTGTGTAAAAGCTCTCCATGAATAAATAAAACTTCTCTGTTACTGGATAGCATGGCCATGGGTGAGGATGCTGGTTGAGAGCACTGTGCAGCTCCACAGCTGGCTCCTGGGGGGTCAGCCTGTACATAAATAGTAAGTCTGATGCATCAGACTCTGTGTGTGCTGGGTCCCTGTGTCATGCAATGGGCCAGTCCTGCACAGGGCATGTGGGTAGAATTAATAAAGCAGTGGTTTTGAGTAGCTAGAGACTCATGTTTTCATTATGCTATTGCTATTAAATGGCAATCTCAACTACTGGTGAAATTTTATATTACCCAGAAAATCTTTAATTATGCACTGCATGTTAGTTCCAATTGAAAAATTCTGTTACCCTTCCATTTGTTTTGTGTACTTGGCTCCTACAGCCTTGCTACTGACTTCTCCCTGCCCCCCTCCCCCCCCCAACTTGTCATAAACATTACTTGGCATAGGTGTACTCCAGCTGCTAAACTGAGTTTGATGACATCAATTCTGAGTGTCAGTTTAACAGTGTAAACTGAGGCTTCATGAAGACTTCAGCTAAAGTCTTTCCTGTTATGATGCCTTGTATTTCAGTCAAATGTTTGTAATGGTGGTGATTTTTTTAAAATCATATTTTAAATAAACTAAAGCTGAACGGTGGTTGTTCAAGTTTTTCTTGGCCAAAGTTGGCTTGTATAGTTTAGATGCTCTTTTTGTCCATTAGCTTGCTCTATTTTTAAGTTATTAAACGGTTAAAAAGAACAGTATTTAATCTCTTATAATCTGCATCATATGTATGACAGTTTATTTTGGCTGCCTTAAGGAACCTAGTACATCAATCTTTTGTTTTTCTTTCACAAGTGCATTACTCATTGTGGATCCAACTGCTGAGGAAGAAGACTTAGCAACTGGAACAGTCACTGTTGTAACTGATGATGAAGGCAAACTGTGTTCTGTGCATAAACCAGGTACTTTCAAGTTTATTACAGAAGAACCTATGGAGATGACAATCTTTTCTTGACTTCCATGTTATGTACCAGCTTTTCTTCCTAAAATGTGGGTGCTTTATGATAACAGGCTATTTGAGTACTTATTAAATGACTTGCTCTTGAAATTAATTTTGAAAAAGGTGGCACAACTGAGGTTGTATGTCCCTTCCAGTTGAAATAGTCTATTCTAAGTTCAAAAAGAAATCACAGCTTTACCTACATAGAGCAAAGGACAGATTTTGAACATGTCTCCTGTTATACTTCCAGTTTGTTTCTGTCTTCTTTGCCCGAGGCTAGAGTTAAGGAAGGTGTGTGCTCCCCAGGTGAAAGTTGTTGGTCATGAGAATTACAGTATTACATAGTACCCTCATTTGGGAAACACATTTAGAGATACTTAACTGAAGTGTAAGTAGAAAATAAAATTGTTCTCTTTACTTTTTAGGTGGAAGTCCTCTTACAGGAGCCAAGCTTCAGGACTGTATCACCAGAGCAATTACAAGACATAAAGAAGTAAAGAAGCTAATAGACAAAGTAATACAAAGTATAAAGCCCAAGTGAACAAAAGGAGAGATCTTTTCAAAAATGGATTTGTAAAAATTGTATTTTTTACGGTGTTCACAAACCTTTTATACTAAATAAACAAATACCAATACTACATTTACAAAGTTCCTTTTTCTTCTAAAATGTTTTTCACCCTTATACTATATACAATGCTGCCAACTGGTAAAAAATACAAGATAAAATGTTCTGTTAAAAAATTTAGTGACTTCAGGAAACCAGACCCTAGCTGCTTTACAGATGAAATCTCTTAAGTTCTGTAGGGCTGGCTTCCAAAAAACAGTTTATTTCAGTGTAACATCAAAAGTTCATTTTCCATCAGTAATATAAAACATTGATTTGTTTTTAAGCTTTCTCCTTTTTAATATGAAAGAAAAAAAATCCCCTCTGAAATTTTTATTTAGATGGGGAGAGGGTGGGGAAAAAAAAAGGCAAGTCTCAGGATTTTGGAGGGGCTGGTGTGCCTCTTTTCCTTTTACTTTTTGAGAGGCTGCCTGAACGCTGCTGATGACGCAGGTGAGCTGCTTGTGCTGCTGCTGCTGCCATAGCCATTTGATGCTGCAAGAATCGCAACTGCTGCCGTGAAGGAGAAGAGGGAGAAAAAAGTTTGTTAGTGTTGACTATAAAGCTGTGTTTCGCATCAGGAAGAATGAAAGGAAAGGGGGGGGGAAATACAATGAAAAGAAACGAGGAAGCACCAGGTTGACAAAAGGAATACACCATACTGGGGCAGTGAGTACAGTCAAGCAGCACCAGTGGCACAGAAGCCTGCTGAGGGCACAGCTGATGTTTCACATGTGTACTCGCGTGGCTTTGTTTCTTTGCCCTTTTTCTCCATTGCAGTAACTGCAGTAACTCAGCAACTTCAGTGAATGTTTGGGTTACACAGTACATCTTTAATCCCTTCTCAGTGTATGCATTGTATTTGCTACGTGTATCACAAAGAGGAGACTGCTAAAAAAATAAATTAAAATATTCTCATGACAGAATGCTGAAGGAATGCTTTGCCAGAGCTGTTGCTTCCATGTACTGACTGTAGCAGTGCTACACTTGAACTGGCAGGTGCTTACATTCATCCTGTTTTGAAATCTACAGGCACCTGGTAGAGCTTATTTAGGTATGTGCCACAAGCACTCCTTGAATGTTGGCAAATCAGGAAGGTGGATGTCTTAAATGAATAAAAATAAATTCAGTGCTCCAAGCTGAGAGAACCACAGATTTCAGATGTGTCATTATACAGTTTGCCAAAATTGATGGTTGGTTTTTTTTTGTTTGCAAGAAGATGAAGACATTAGTTTAAAAAAACAATAAAAAGGGACAAGATTTTTGGTTTTGGAGCTGAGAATTGTATTTTTAAAGTTTTTTTTTAATTTTATTTTTTAAACAGTCAGAGTGAAGTTGCTGGATTACTTGTATCTGTTGCTGCTGCTGCTGCAAGGCTTGTTGTTGTTGCTGTTGTAAGGCAGAAGAGAGCTGGAGTCTCTGCTGAGGAAGGCTTTGCCCAGGTCTGTTCACGGCAGAGCCAAGCTGAGACAACACTAAGAAAGGAGAAGGGGAAAGCAGGCAGGTCAAAGAGGTCAGGTTGAGCTGGTAGGGGTCAGGGAAGGAAGACATCAGAATAGAGAGTAACAGAAAAGGGGGATCAACAGAATTAGTTTCAAAGTCAAATCAGAAACAGCACAGAATAAAGTATATATGATATACATACTCTGTTAGTTAGAACATAATTAGATTATGAAGTTCTTGTGGAGACACAAAGAGGTTTCTCATACTGGATGTTAAGCACACAATTAAAGAAACATTCCTCAATGAAGTCTGGCTTGAAGGTATTTTTGTATCAAGTGTGACTTATTTTCATGTGACATTAACAATTTACTACACTTAGCTGCCAAACAAAGCAGAAAAGTGCATGCTTTGAAAGCTAAGTATTTAATGTATAATTAATGTGCTGATAATAAATAGTAAATTGTTGTGATCTAACATTAAGACTTAAGGACCAAACTTCATTTCAGCGTGAATTTATCAAGATACACACTTTAATACAAAAGGAGACTCAGCAAGCACGTACCTGTGGCTTGAGGTTGCATAAAATTCCCTACTCCAGTCAGGTTAATTACAGCAGCTTGTTGGGCAGATAATGCCTGATCTTGATTGGATGGACCTTGGTCAGACCCCTAGCAAAAATGAAAAGCTTGATCCTTATTACCAAACTTTGGTATCAATAAATAAGTAAATAAAGCCAGTGTGAAGGCAAACTTTTGAAGTGCCATTTAAAACCATTTAATTCTACATCTTCCAGTGCATGTAGATACAGGCTATAATGTAGTCACTATCAAATGACAGACGTTGAACGCCCCAGAACAGCTCTGCTTCAGCAGAAGTGGTATTATGCCCGTTACCCAGCAGAAGCCTCATGTAGTGGTCAATTTCCTCACAGTCAGCAGAGACTACAGTTTATGGTTGTAACCTTACAACATTTCCTGTCCCACTCTCAACCCCAAAGTCTTCAGGGGACACCATGTGCAAAGGTCCCAATCAACCAAAATGTAAAAAGTCTGAAACTTACATTCATGTGCTCATGTTGTGTCACACACTCCTCACATTCGTAACAAGTACAATCCCTGCTTTTAAGATTTTATTTTCAGAATAGAGCAGTTCTCACAGTAATCACTCAAATGGAATTACTGGAGTCTGATCTAGTGGCTACTGCAGTCAAAGGGTACTGAATTATGACCTCTAGAACTTAAATTATGCATGGCTTCACAAAGTAGGGAATTAAAGTATTATATATGCAGTTTAAGCGAACTGCAAGACTTTTGAGCTGGTGCATTTCCAGGAGTTGCAATGCTTCTTTAGAATAACCATATGAAATAATGCCACCGAGATCTAGGTAAACTTGACCAAAAGACTGCATATTAAGAAGACATCACCATCCCAGTGAAGATGGCTAAGACAGATGTACAAAGTCATAGAGCCAACATTTGGGGGAAAAGCTGCAGTTTGAAATGAGAATGTATATATTCTATTGGCAGCATAGAAAACTGTTAAGTCTTTTTGGGCTTAGGTTTTTTCCTAAGGTTTCTTGTCCTTAGTAAAAGGTATCATAGTATTCGTAATACCTCATTTTAGCTAATGACCCTAGTCTTACTCTAATGTGCAGTAAGACATAAGTTCCTCAGGGCAAGTCAGCCAATGCAGAGAGACTGATTTCCTCCAGAAGAACCTCTGCCACAAGGACTAGGCTTACATCAGGCTTTTTGTAAGTGCCCTTGAAGTTCAGTGTCTAGAAAATAAAACCCAATAGTATGAACTTGGATGATTTTTTTTGTTTAGTAATTCAACAAGTAACTGACATTTGGATTCTGAGAACAAATCTGAAGGTTTCCCACTAAACCGTCCCACATTTCAGAACAAAGCCAGTGACACAGGAGATAATACACCATAAAAAACATTTGAAAGAAGCATCTTATTTATGAACAGTCTACAGTAGCAAAAGCAAAATTATTATGACAAACTGAGTATCTAGTAGAAGGTATTTGATAAACAAAAGTCTTGCATGTCTGGGAAGACAAAAGATCACAAAAGCAGAGCAGCTCATTTTCCCAAATTGCTGCATTAGTGGTGGTAAGATTTTTAGACACAGGTAGAACCAACCACTCAAAGTTCGTCATTTTGAGAACAGACACATTGGTCTCTATCAAGACTTTAGACTTCTTCAGTGATTAAAGCCTTTAACACTAATTACAGGCAGCAGTAGTGTGTCTTAAGATTACAGCTTTAAAGCCAACTGATACTTTCTCTGGTGCAGAGAGAACAATTCCGTTGAACTACAGCAGTGAGGATCGTAAGCCAACTCACAGCAGCACAAGAAAAAAGTTCTAGTGACTCTGCAGTGATTCTGATCGTGCTCCTTCTCTGTTCATCCGATGTATCTGCTAGCTACGGTAAGCTACGTCCCAGCTTAGGGCAACACGAAGCTGATTTTGCACCACTTATAGAGTGGGCTGTCTCTCTTTATGCCGAAGTTAGGTTTTGTTATAGCTCTTCTATACATGATAAAAATAAAGGAGTATAACCCAGCTCCAGCCATAGCAACAAAGCCACTGCAGTCTTTGCAGTCTGAGAAGGTTTTGGAGGAAGACTTTCCTCAGATCTGTTGTGTAAGGGCTCATTTACTTGTGGAGATGGGGAGGAGAAACTATTACATCCATGCACCCCAGACTGAGGGCTGTTAGCACACATCTGTTCTCCCTGTTGCTGAGGTTGACAGGCTGCTGAGACTGTTGCTGTGAAGCAAACTGTGATGACTGCTGCTGCTGTTGATGCTGGAGTGGGTTAAAAATAAGTGAACCACCTCGAAGCTGCTGAAGACTAAAAACAACAGGCATAATTCAATCCAACTGCTGAGTTTCACACTGTCCTAGGATGAACATGACATTGATAATGACACACTCCTCAGAGGACTGGTTTTTTGTTTTGTTTTCAGAAAAGTCCTTTAAAATGAATCAGTTTACAACTGCTGCTGTTTGTGAAAAAGTCTTACGCTCAGAAAACAAACCTACATTAAATTATAGCAAGATATTTTCACAGGAAAAATTATTTTTATTATTCTAATTAAAACAGTAGAGATTGTACAGATACTGGAACTGCAGAGGCTAGTCTTTGAAAGCACTGTGTATTATTTACACTTTCAGAATACTCCACTGAATTTTAACAGATGCTTCCAATGAACAAGCTGCAAGGTCTGATGTAAAAAAAAAAAAAAGTTAAACAGTCTTGAATCCTGTCCTTTACCCTAGCTTTAATTGTACTGATTTTAGCCAAATTATTCTTGGCTTATATAAGTGGCAGAGGTAGCTTGAAAGTATGTACATCAGTGTGGAATCACACAAATACAAGCACTCAATTATACAAGAGCTCTACTCTGGCATAACTGCCCCCTGTGCCTGCCGTTTTCCATGTTTCTGGAGTGTGTACAGGAGTGAGAAGAGGAAGTAGCAAAGCTACAGCTGATCTTTCACTGGTATTAGTTTCTTGAAGTATGGTGCAAAGTCTGTGGAACACTAACTCTGCAATTCTGCACCTGCAACTTTAGGCTGACTTCAAGATCCAGGAACTCCACTCAGTTCCACAGATGCTCCCTCTGTTCTTTAAAATAGAGCTCTGACACAATGAACAACTTTTGCTCATGTTTGTACTTGTATGTAGGGTTTAGTGGAAAGAAAACATTTACAGGCCCTCTAAACTCCCTACCTTACATGAACTTCCATTTCCAATACCAGAAGCTCTTTAAAGCTATTTCTGTACCTACCTGTGCATGTTCAGGTCAGCTTTCAAGCCTTGTATGTGTAAGGAACAAAAGCTTAGGCAAAATCCAAAAACAGAAGATTGCATTTTAGGATAAATCTCTTGAACTCCTATGTCAGCATTTTTATATCCTTACTGAGAACTAGCTGCTTTGCTGTGAGATAAGAATATAATTTTCACGTGGTTCTTTATGGAAGTAGGTTTTTCTCTTGTTCTAAGCATTTTAAATTAGCAATTAAAATTTGCAGTTATAGCAAATACAGTTTGTCTGATCAACTGGCTTCAAAGACTTGTGGGGGGCAATGAAGTTAGCAGCACTAACATGTGCCTAAAGAAAATTAAGAAATATTATTGCATCCAAGTATATAAATTACCTGTAGAAGATTTAAAGGCCGAAGATTTGATGCATTTTTCAAACCAAAGGGGCTGCCTGTTAAAGAAAACATCTTTTTATTAGTAGGAAGTCTTTACTTAATTATATATTTGTCTTGCAATTAATACATCTTTCTGCTGGGATAATTTCTAAACATTTGGAAGCTGGAAAACTGGCAAGTTTAAATTTTATGCTTAATACAATGCTGCATTTTTCATAATGTTGATAAGTTCATAGTTATCCAGATTCAAAGCTAAAGAGAGCTGACCAAATGGCAAGAAATCTGTATTGCTACTAAACACTGTACCCCATAATCTATAAACCTGTTAATGCATTTCCACAAAGGTGAATGTGGAGAATATCGTAGCAGTTATTCTTCAGTGATTCTTCTTCTGGCTTTGAACGGTTTTACTGTTTGCACAGTAAATCCAGAAATGTCCAAGGGCTCAATGAAGTAATGAGCTCTCAGTTTCTCAGTCATTAACAGAAAACAATCCCACCCAACATCTTAGCAGCCGCCCACCCCCTCAAGGGCTTCTAGCAAGATGTATCTGACTTGCAGAGCTTTTGGCATTATTTCACATGGCACTCTTCAAAGCTACGCTAAAGAAAAGATGTATATGTAGTAAGCTATGAGTTAGATATAAAATGGATACAACTGCTGTCCCTCTGAACCTCCAGAGGTCTGCCACCGACCTAGCTCAGCTCAGTAACCCCATCTGTTATGTGGCTGACAGCATAGCACGTAAACACCTGTGACACCAAACTGGTAGAGGTTGATAGTGCTTGAAAGGACAGAATTAGAAGTCTTCCTGGTGAACCAAAGTAAGGGTCCAAAAATCAGTAACACTGAATTAAAAAAAGACAAATGAACAAGTACAAAATTGTGAGTAACTAGCGTTGTGTCTATACAGCAAGAAAGGATGAGAAGTTACAGCAAGTCACAAACATATCCAAACCATCCATATCACAAACCACAGAACACACAAAAGAACCTCTGCACACAGTTCACATTTATAAATATCACTGTCACAATATGCCATAGATGCAAAAAATATAAATGGGTTCAAAAATCAGATAAATCCACACACTAGAAGTCTAGCACGGGATATTAAGCTCAAAGATCCACACGGATAGTTTTCATCTGAGAAAGTCTCAAAAGCTGTAGATTGCCAGAAGAGCTACAGTTGTTTACAAGGGATGTTTCACTTCACACTTTTGCCTGGTCTTAAACTCTCTTAAGCAACCTCTAATGACAACTGTCAATGACAGAATATGTACTAGGCAGATTTTTGGCCTAATCCAGTAAAGCCATTCTTAGGTTACTGTAACGCTGTTGTGAAAAATACAAATAAAAAATAGGCAGACCTCATTTAGGGAAATGTTAACAGGAATGTTGTGAAAGAGATGAGATGCATTTATTCTGCTGTACTCCACAGTGGTAAATCAGCCAAGCTCATGCTTATGCCCAGTTTTGGTTATTGCATTTTAAGAAGGATGTAAGCAAATTGGACAGTCTAGAAGAGAGTGACAGGATTATGAAAGGTTTGAAAACTACAACCTATCAGAAAAAGACAAATGTGGGACATGACAGCATGTTTGATACTTAGAAGGTAAGAGAAAAGGTGAAAAACTGTTTTTCATGTCTGTGAAGAACAGGAGAAAAAAAATAATTTAAATTTGTAATTAAGGAGATTCATTGCAATTAGAAGCAAACATTTTGTTCAGGCAATGAACTACTCCAGACAGCTACCAAGGGAGAACAGAATCTTCCGTAGTGAAGGTACTTAAAGACAGTTTAGACAAGCATTGGTTCAGTATGGTTTAGACAGATTTGACTCTGCCACAGTGTAAGGGATGGATATCTTCAAGTCTCTTTTAAACTTCTGCTTCCATAATCATATACTGGGGTTTTATTTGGTCTTATTTTTTTCAGAAAAAATAAACTGAAAGTTTACATGCTACTTTAGGTAATATTGAGGGATACAGATTATATAGTCATATTTGAAGGCAATAAGGAATTGATTATCCTACTAGAATAAAGCAGTATCGGTGACAGAATAAAAAGCTCCACACATTTATAAAGGGAGGCCTCTAAGGTCAGTCATGCCTTTTTTTCTGGCAGTCAGCATTATCAAAACTGCATTGGAATTTGGAGTTTCTCTCAAGCTTTCTACAAAGCATACTAAACAAGCCAGGTTTAGAGTATGTCTCTTCAGCTTAGCTCCTCAAATTTAAACAATGATAAACATGGCCTGTCCCTTTCAATGGAAAAATACGCATGCTGTTCCCGAGCTCCAGCTATCACACAAATCTATTCACACAATGGCCACTGTCATTCGTTATTCTCTCAATATGTTTTCACACTGTCCCTATCTGAAGGGTAGCTTTTCAGCTTATTCACACTAACCTGCTTGAGAGGCAGACTGCATTGCAGCAGGCAGCGCACTTGGTACCAGACCTCCTGATGGTAAAATGCCACTCAGATTTATACCTGCAGGGGTTATGGCACCAGTGTTGCACCCCAACATAGGGTTTGAACCACTCATCAGTGTCTGTGCTCCACTGTAGAAGAGGAAAGACAACACATCAAATCCAAGTGGTACAAGCAAATCTGAGTAACTAAATTTTTGCCCTGTCTCATGACAGGTAAACAAATTGTTTGCTGTAAATGGGATTATGGATAAAGCATCAAGGCAGCTTAAAAAAATCATTATGCCTACGGTATAACAAATACGTAAAGCCATATTCTTGGCATAGACAATTTTTTTTCTCTGAGATAATCAATGGAAAATAAAACAAGTAGTTCTTTTACTCTAGAAATACTGAAAGATCAACAGTCTTCAAAAAGGCTGTACTATCATAACAAAAGTTAAGGAACAGGTTTGTGGGTTTTTTCCACTATTAAAAAAAAAGATATTTCCAATTAATCAACAGTGATCAACTGCTGAACACCTTGGATGAGTAATTCAAGTGTCTGATATTTGCATTGATGCATACTATGTATCCTACACTGACCATCTTACATTGATCACAGAATTTAATTTACCCTAAAAAGCAGTTCATGTTATACCACAGAATCTATTCTTGACAGAGGCATTATTTTTTTTTAAAGCACAAAATGAGTTTTAAGGATCAAAGAGTGTTTAACCTCAATGTTTGATTAAACTGTTAGAAAACAGATTTGTTGTTTTCTTGTAGTCTACATACAACCTTCCATTCATAGGCACTTTAATACCAAATATTTTTCCATTTTTCACTGAGTGGTCTGCATATGATATTTCCCCTCCAAATAATAAAAACATTTTTCAAACTTAAAGAGCAAAACCTCAGAAACCACTGAAATTGAGGTTAAGCCTTATGAAATTAATCAAAAAAGCCGAAAGCACAATTTTCTTCATACACTATTTGTTATATTTGAGAAATACGAACAGCTTCTATTGGCTCTTTGCTTGAAAATTATAAAGCTAATGATCTTTTTCTACTGCAGATTCTGAAAAATATCTATCCTAATGGGTGCTGGACAGTCCTGTACCACTCCTATCCTCCCCACTCCACCATCCCAATAACCAACCCACCCAACACAAATTCCGAAACCATCATAACAAAGAACTTACCACACGGAGCCCACTACATTGATGAAGTTAAGTCCTGCAGGGTTTGCCATGACCTGGGTGGAGGCTGTTCCTGTAGTAATGGATGTTACCATGGTGGAAAGAGGAATGGTCATTACAGGCAGTGCCTTGCTCAGAGACATTTGCTGCTGAGCATAGGGGGTTAACAAAGTGGGCTGAGGGGTGAAGCCTGAATCTTGGGGAGTAGGGGTGGCAGAAGGGGTAATAGGAGTTGAGCTCTGAGCATCAGGAGGGTGTGGGGTCGATGAAGGGGTGTTGGTTGGAGTAGGAGTAGATGGTTTAGGAGTTCCAGACCCTGCTCATTGAGAAAAATAAAAAGTACTAGTTTGTTATAAAAGGCCAGTCCTTTTTTGTATATAAGGTTAATGGAATCTTATTTAGCACTGACAATTTGTTCCATTTTTTTAGACTGCAAGTGTTAACTTCTACATGACACGAGTGTTGCAGAACGCACTCATTGTTAAGGATGCAGTATAATCACACAGAAAACCCATTCTCCATGCTTAATTTCTAAAGCCATATATCAATTTGTATCCTCCATTAAGTCCTTCCCTAATTTATCGCATATTAAGTCATAACTCCACTCAGAAATACTTAGATCAAAATAAAACCATTTCTTAGTGACCATTTTACCCTAATTAATGTTCTTGTCCTAAAATGTTAAACAGAGAGTCTATATGCACTGTCTGCATAACAGTATCATGTCAAAAACATATCATGGAAAACAACAGATTCAACAAAGAACATACACTATTTCAATAATTGTGTGGTCATCACATTTTGATCAAGTAACATTTTTTAACATTTAAGAGCCAGAGGATAATACTGCATCTTTAAAAGTTACTGTGTAATTCCTTCTGCTCAAATGTAGCACGTATAGCATCTATATTTGTTGTGGATGCAGCAAGTATGGTTTATCAACAGAAAAACAAAGGTGTTTTCCACCACACCCCAAGGTTTTTTCATTTTTTTTTTTTTAGTTTTCATGTCCTGCAGAAAGAAAGGAAATAAATGAGAATGTCCAGCTGTTGTGATCAGAGCCTTCAATAATAACTGTGTGCAGTGAATTCGCACAATTCATAGCACTAACATAAAAACTGAGTAAATATGTTAGTAGAAAACTTTTATGTTTTTTTTTCCTTTGTGCAAAACCAGGCAGAAATGTTACACCTTTTGAGCTATCCAGATTTTAAATTATTTAATGCAAAAAGCATATTATAATACTGTGCAGGATACTGGAATGTGCAGTATACAATTATTAATAAAAAAACTGAAAACCTGTCGCTACGATTTCTCTTGGTACAAGTCTGTTCGTGAAATGTCTCAAGACGCATACATATTTTAAAAAATGTTTATGATCTATTGCTACGATTACAATGATCCTGTCAGTGTTAATGAAAATACTTGCACTAGGAAGTCACTTATTATTGAAATTTACATTTTAACACCTGAGAATACGGTGCTATCATCATCAACATCACCACCACACTTGCAATCAGCAATGATTTGTAAAACAGTGTAGGAGTGTTTTAGAAAATCATCTTATCGTTTATTGTATCACCAACTTGGGACTGATCAGATTATATACATACATAGAGATACAACTGCACCAGCTCCTAAAACATTTAAAAAACCAGATGCTTAAATTATGTAAAGGCAAACTGATCTAACATACTGTTTTTACACTGGAGGAAAAAAATCTACACTTTGGAATTTTATCTCATCACATCATCTACCAGCCTTTCAGAAATGAGGAGATCATACTAATTGCATAAAATGTATTAAAACGTATACACAGAGGGTGCATACATATATACAGAAAAAACGGACACAGTTACAATAAACATAAATACATACAGTGAACAAGAGACCTGCCTAAAGCTGCACGACTTATACAATTTAGGGTACACTGTACACTTAAGTTTCATCATTCCACAGGGTAAGCAGTTTATCTCAGGAAGCATTTATGCAAAAGCCTAAGATTTAATGGAGAATTTAGGTCGTGACTCACTTTGTGAAGAGCTGGCAGGAGACATGGCAGCTGGAGAGAGCATGCTAACTTGATTAAGATCCATAGATTGTTTCCGAGAAAGACCAGGAGGCTTAGAAGGAGGAGGAGGAGGAGTTGGGGACTTTAGATGGCCGCTTGACTGTTGTGGACAAAAAATATTACCTGAAAAAGCATAATTAAAATACATTATTGTTCTGTGTGTACATTTTAACTTGGATTTTTTTTTAGGATAGAATTTGCTGAATGATATAATCAGAAATCAACAGAATTATGCTCTTTTCACAGGTAAGATACTGATTTTTTTTTTAAATTAAATCTTTACTAAGGAGATATCATGCCATTTTACAACAGGCAGAACACATAAAAAGGAGATGCCCGAATCAATAATTACCTGAAGAGCTACTTCCTGAACTTGAAGGTAATTTGATGGGAGGAGGTCGGTGTTTTACACCTTTCCCCAATACTGAAGACTGAACAGAGCCTGATATACTTTCTGGCTGCTAGGAGGAAAGAGAAATTAACACTACCACAGTAATAATGCGAGCTTTCACATATTTAACAGAAAAGACAATTCAATTGATTTGTATTAGACTTCTCAAAACTATAACAAAATTCCCTTCAAACATTTCAGATTTTCCTTTCTTTATTTTAAAAACAACCTATGACTGGCTCTCTTTAAATAAATACTTAACACCAAGAAGCAGCTTGCAAGTGTTGGTAGAATTTCAACCAAGTAAAAAAAATAATTTAAAAATGAAGTTTCACTTTTCTCTGCAATTCTGAAATGCTTCTTAGCAACTTTCACAGATGCAAGAGTGACAGATGCACTTTAAAAATTTTTTCAAAGTTACATCATTTCATTCATTCACCATCTGTATATATCTGCCATTTCCAACAATATGGATTTAGAGAACAGGCTCAGATGGAAGCAGGAATTTAAATACATTCAGGAAAATCCTGAATGCACAGAAATCAATACACTTTTTTTCCCCATTGACTTCAGTGGGATCAGAACTTCACTCATCTTTTCAGAGGAAAGGTTCTTGCCTGTTCTTAAAACCTACTTATCAGGTTGTCTGAACATAAATTAACCGCAGCTAATTAAGTCTGTAGCTCTCAGTCAACCACAACAGACTCCAAATCCATAATTCCAATAGCAGACACTGTCAAAAGACTCAACAGTGAAACAGCTGTATTTTTACCTGTAAAGCAGGTATCCCATAAATAAAAGTAACATCTAAACAAACATACAGTTCATGAACTGCTGAAGCTAGAAAATGAGGCTCTCAATATAACAAGTGGAATATTTCAGTGCTGGAGCCTAAACTAGATGTGCATGGATTAGCAAATTGGAGCATTCAGCATTGCACAGGGTCAACCTTTTCGGAGAGCTGAGCTTCTGCTGATCCTCAGTAATAGGAGACTCTCTCTACACGTTTCTAATCACTTGCTTATAGAAAAAAAAGAATCTTTTAAGGAAAATTCTAAGGATTGCCTCTGTCTTCTGCTGCTAAAGACTGCTTTCTGAATTCTGAAAAGAAAGACTAATGCTCAATTCAAAAAGTGACTAGATCATTAAATACAGTAAGCTGAGTAACTTTCGTTCAGCTTTCAGTGGGGGCATGGATAGCCAGATGAGATGACTTCCAGAAGTATCCTCCCACCCTAAGTTATTCTATGATTATAATATACACACACACACACACACACGTGTACACATATGCCTGTATGTGTATATACACATATAAAAACATTCATATTCCTTTCCCCAGCTGCTGGCATCTGCACTATGCTCTCCTGCCTGACACCAAGAATTACCTCTTTCAAGAGCAATGTTGTTTGCAGTTTAAAAGTAGGTATTTAAGGCAAAAATGTAGCAAAGAAAATAGCCCAACAGAGACAAAATTCATTTACTAGTTGGAGCCTAAATATAGCTCATCACTACAGTACTGAATCTGACCAAGAAAGCCAGAAGAATTAAGTAAAACACAAAGCAATGCCAGCAGGCATGAGTATTTGGGAATGCAGGAATTTCTACTGGATGTATGTATACAAACATGAACTTTAAAGGTGTGTGTTTGGGTTTTTTTAAGTTTTCCTATTCAAAAGGAAAGAGAAAATAATTTTAATTATTTCTAAAGGTAAAAAAAAGTTCAGCTACCATATTCACTGTTATGTGAAGTAAAACAAAACATAGCTGCTTTTTACTATACTGCTCTGTAAGGAGTTCATCTGAACAGGGGAAAATGCTATAATAAAGCCTTGAAGCTAACTAGCTGCTTAAAAAAAAAAGATAGGGATAAAAGGCACAACATTTGAACCCTGAAAACAAAAGTGTATTCCTCTAACTTTTCCAATATACTCATTCTGAATGATTGTGACAATAAAGCATTTAAGAATTCATTCAGAATGAAGTTTTTAGATTACTTTTAAATGTGGACAGCAACAATTACTCTAGTAATTCAATAATCAAGTTTAAATAAAATAAATGTAGGGCTCTATATACTCACTTCCATTTCCTTCCCTGGAGAAAGATGACTAAGGTTGACTGATCCACTTGAATTATGAAACATTTTCACAGGGCATTTAGCTTCACTTTGTACTAACTCCTGATACTGGTTCACCACTCTGAAACAACAAGGACATAAAAAGATAAACAATGTTGAACGTCTAAAATAGATATGTATATGTAAACGCAATTGTATATATTACAGTCATATATATTTTACATACATCTGTATAAAACAGAGATGCACATAAATAAAACATATCTATATCTTCATATATCCGTCTTCCTACGTTATGTTCCTGGGCTCTCTTCTTAGATTTATTCCATTTTAACTTTTGTTTTAATCACTGTCCTTTTTTCCTAAAGCAAAATACAGCCTGTTTAAGAAATACTCTCTTGGAAGAATATGCAAAACAGTGGCCAGAATAGTCTCCAGGATGTCAGTCAGTGGGGATCCCATTCCCTCCACAGAAGTCCAGAATCTTTTATTAATCTGTGTCCTCTTCTTATGCTCCCTGTGGAGCTGTCAACCCTCCCTTAACTTGAGGTCTATGTCAGATGAGGGCTCTGAAAGCAAAGGATGAACTAAGAGGTTCAGACTGAATGAAGATCCAAAAATCAGAAAAGCAATCACTCTTTCTACTTTGAACACCAGGACAGCTATACTAACGAACCAGGATGTATCCAGAAATTTAAAGCATCAATAGCATGAGACAAATAAGTTTAAAATACTGCTCTACCAAATCAAATCCCACATCTCTCAGAGAATATACAGCAGAATATACAACGTGACCTCACAAACTTGAAAATTAAGCTGAAGACCTGTTAATTGTCATGTCATGTATATTCTGGCATACTAAACCTCAATGAAGAGCTGCTGGAATATTTCCATCAGCTTACACCTAAATGTGATGAACTACACTTCATTTTGGTATGGCACTGATACAATATGCTACTACGTGACTAATGCAGATATAAGCAAGGGCCCCAAGATACATGGCAGAGGAAAGGCTGCAGTGTACGTTTTTCAGCAACTGGGTTTTAGACTGCCTTAAAATTAGAGTGGAATTGGAGTAATAAAATACCCTGTACTCAAAAAGGTGGTTCTTCCCTCCCTCTTTTACTATTTCTTCCTGTCCTAGTCCCTGAAGCCCAGCTGCTTATTTTGATAGAAGGGTTTGTGCAACCTAGCGGCAAATGATCTGGAAATCAATCCCAGTTAAAACTAGCCCCCTATATTACTGTTGTTTTAGTTTTCAAGCAACCAATCCCCCAATTCAGCTTACAGCACAAACAGCAAAAGTCTCTATCAGCACAGAGGAAGGAGCAAATATAACTAAAGAGTTTCTTGATAAAAATTATCTATTGAAACAACATTATTACCGATTTTTGACCAAATCAAGGACTCAATGCCCTGCCAGGCACATAAGATGACGGTGAGGAGTTAAGAACTATAGCATGTACATGACCTTGAAGCGTTCTATGAAGACAGAAAAAACCAAATGGTTTTGACAGAGACTGATTTTTAAAGGTTCTGTGCTCATATGCACAAAGAAACACAGGTACCTAATGCGATACACACTGAAACACTTGAAGTACTTATTTTACTGCCTCAGTTATCCCAGAATTGCTACTACTTATCATTCTACAACTAAAATACACTGGAAAACTGTTTTGTTACTTGCTTCTCTAAGAAAGTAGAATCAAATAATGCACAACACACAAAAATAAGTTGCACAGATAAAGTCCTAGATTTCATCTTAAGTTCAAATGAACAATTTCCATGATTGCTAATTTACCATGCAAAATGTCAAGATGAAATTCCTGCTAAGTGCTCTCACAATTTTAATATTACCTGTGTAATCAAGAATAATAACTGTAAGAACATGCTTGAAATCTAGGTAGTGCGACAAGCTGCATTCACATATTTACTTTCCTCTATTCTTCCTTGCCTGTTAAATATAGAAACTGCACACTATATCCTACTTCTTGTTATCAAGATTAATTGATCTTATTTTCCTCATCTGTTCCACATCTGTATCCATAACTATAACATTAGCAGTCATAATGGCTTTTAAAAAGGAAAAAAATTCATTATCTGACATCAAGCCAAATGCTTGCACATACTATATCAATTTACCTTTCAGCATCAGTCTTTGAACCAATAAGGAACCTGAAAAGTAAGATATATAAAAAATTTTCAGTTGTGAATTAGACTAAAAGAATATGTTTTTATAATCAAAAAACTTCGAATAAATGTCAGAGTTGCTCTTTTTTCAGACCTGCTGAAAATACAAGAGATACTGTTTAATGGACTGGGTATTATTTAGTATTTGAAATACAAACTTGGCTTCATAACTATATATACAATATACACACATGGTCTATTATGGTCTAGTAAATGGTCTCCTCTAAGAGTAAAAGGCTAAACATAATATAATCAAGCCCTATGTTTTCACAGCACCTACAAAGCAAAAGGTAGAATACGGAAGCTTTGTGTTTTATACTTTCAAAAAATGGAAGTAACTGCTACAGAATTGCTACTGTAAAAAGTACAAGGAAAAAGTTACACCTAAGTCAACACATCAGTATACTCACATTGAAATATAAACTTAAGAGTCCTGTGGGTATGTCAAAAAACAGCCCTAACTTGCAAAACCCTGCAACCTTTGGTTTGCAAACTTACTTCAGTGATTTTTTTTTATGGCACAGACCTTTCCTTTGTTTCTCTAGCTCAGAAAAAAGCATTGTTTCATTTTACAGCAGAACGATAATAATGTCTTCTGCACCTTTCACTTCATATGACATAGTTTTCTAATGATTAAGTATCCAAATTTTTTATGAATTTCAATTGGTAATGTCTAAAAAACATCAGACTAGAGCAGTGATTTAAAAAAAAGCATCTAGCACCTATAAATCCTTTTAATTTCTAGACTTATTACACAACTGTAAGCCAGCACTGCTGTTCCAGGAGAATCACTACCAAGTATGTATGCTGGTTTGGGCTGGGATAGATTTAATTTTCTTCAAAATAGCATGTACAGGGCTATGTTTTGGATTTGTGAATAGAACAGTGTTGATAACACAGGGATATTTTAGTTACTGTTGAGCAGTGCTTACACAGAGTTAAGGCCTTTTCTGCTTCTCACACCACCCCACCAATGAGCAAGCTGGGGTTGCACAAGAAGGGAAGGGACACAACTGAGACAGCTGACCCCAGCTGACCAAAGGGATACCCCATACCATATGACATCATGCTCAGCACTAAAAAACTGGGGGAAGAAGGAAGTGCAGAGACGGTCAGAATCACAGTGTTTTGTTTTCCCAAGTAACCATTATGCATGAGCCCTGCTGTCCTGAAGATGGCTGAACACCTGCCTGCTGATGGCAAGTAGTGAATGAGGGTTATCAAGGACTGGAACAGGCTGCCCAGGGAAGTGGCTGAGTCATTTCTGAAGGTATTTTAAAGATGTGTAGATGTGGCATTCAGGGACATGGTTTAGTGGTAGACTTGGCAGCTAGGTTAATGGTTGGACTGCATGATTTTAAAGGTCTTTTCCAACCTAAATGATTCTATTAATTTCTTATTTTGATTTGTTTTAGTGCACAGCTTTTGCTTTACTTATAAACTGTCTTTTATCTCAAACCATGGGTTTTCTCTCTTTGACTCTTCTGATTCTCTCCCAAAACCCACCAAGGAGGAGAGAGTGAGTGAGTATGTGGTGCTTGGCTGCTGGCTGGGGTTAAACCACAACAGTATGGAAACAAATGTTAAATAGTTCAGTCTACAGATAAACCATTCTGAGTATTAAGAAGGGTAAGTATGATAGGAATTACATACTAGACAATAAAAATAACTTTCACTAACAGAACTAAAGTTTGCCCAGGCTCACTTCTCCTTGCCTTACGAATCTGGTACACACAGCAGGGAGAGCCAGGGAATCTTTGTAGAAGCACAGCCAACAATAACAGATTCAAAACAATTCAAAATGACAAAGCTTCTGAGGAGCTATGTTTTTCTTCATCATTTATTTAGCCTAAATTTCTCTGCATAAGGGTAAATATAATATAATCAAGTCTTATGTTTTCACAGCACCGGGCAAATTTTGACATCAAAATAAGTAACACTGAAAAAGAGTGCTAGCAATGTCTCACCATGTCTTCACAATTTGAGTGTGTTAGGTGTGGTTTTTTTGTTTGTTTGGGTGTTTGTTTTTTTTTCAATATAACTTTAACGTAGAAGAAACAAATCCCTTGAATCAGATTTCTTGCTCTGAAGTATTTTTATGACTGAAAATGGTAAGTAATGTTTGTCTTCCTTCATCTATCAGATCAGAGCTCTGTTTAAAACAACACGTGACTTACTGTGATGGAGTTAATAGGTTGTCATTTTCATCATCACCTTTGAGTGTCTGAATTTTACCATAATACAAGGGATTGCCAAGAGACTGAAAAATGGTCAGCTTTGTTTTCTGAAGCTGATTACCAACTTCACATTCAAACACATAATCATCTTTCATTTCCTAAAAGCAGAAAATAACCAAATAAGTCCTAACAAGTCATAACAGCTAGTAAAATATACGAGTTCTATACAATACAGTAAGAAGCACTCTATAAGAAGGGGTGATTTGAGAAAAAGTTATCTAAAGGGATTAGAGGAAAAAGAGTTTATCATCTCTTAAAAATACAAAAATATTGCAAATCTTAATCATGTTAGATATGGAAAGGCAAACTGCGTAAACATGTATAGGAAGAGTTTTATATAAATTATGACAGTGCAACAAAATGTTCCCACAAAAACGTTGGAGATGGAGAATAAGTTCTACAGGGAAGTACTACCTTTTGCTAATATGAAACTACAAAGACATCATGACAGATGCTGTTAATAAAGACAGTATCTTGCCTCCAAAATTACAAAGAATTAATGAATTCATTTATGGCTACTTATGTTAAATGACTACTTATCAAATCATGTTATTTGTGCCAAAAATCTTAAGGATCAACTTAAGCATTGCAGAAAGAGCTTTTTGTAAGAGGTATTTAATATCACTTAATCTCTTTCCAAATTTAAAATTTGGATTTTACCAGAAGCTTTGGGTACCAGTGTAAAGAAAGCAATTTGTTGAACAGAGTACTGTTCCCTATAAATTACTATGCTTTCTTTAGTATACAGCAACAGTACACATTACTTGGGAGATTTAAGTTGGTTTTTCTGGAAAACCTGAGGAAGTTACAAGACTGATCACATGCGTGCTGCACTGTATGAAATTAAAAGCATCTGTGGTAATCTTGCTGTGTCTATAGAATACATGAAAAATGAATTAAACTGGGGGAGGGAAGATAATTCTCACATTACTTTGTTTTTATTGAAATAAGAGGCATTTTCACTAAAAACAGAGAAGTTTGGCGGAACTACTTACATGTGCTGGCCAGACAGTCGGTTGTGAGTCATCAGGCTTGATAGACTTTTCCACTTTGGCATACTTTTCCACCTTAAAGAAAACAGAGATATCAGAAAAGAAAGAACAATAGTAATACTGGGCGAGAAGTCATTCTAGCACAGCTTTTTATCTTTAAGAGTGGCTACTGTGATGGTCTTAAAAAGTGAGTGCAAGAAACAGATAAGGATAGCTCGATACTTTGTACAGCATTCCTCATTTATGTAATGCATTCAGAAAAAGTAAACTGAAGAACCTTCAGAACTTTACATTTTGTTACACCATATTTGCTATCTTAAACTTAAAATGTGAAGCAGGGCTTAAGACTATAGATTGAAATTACTGCCTGCAGTGTGGAATGGTTAAGAAATCTTACAATACCAGTAACTCCTAAAGACTCTGATTAGGTCTAGTGCAACACTGTTGAAATGCAATGTGAGAGAAGGTTCGTACAAACTTACAGCATCATTTCAGGTGTAATGCACAGTCCTGCCAGCCCTAACAAGTTCAAAACTACAATCTTGCCTAGTTTACCAAGCTCTTTTTGTATGCTAGCGGTATGTGTTTTGGCAGTGCCAGAAACTGAGAATCTGAATGGCCCAGAGAGAAAAATGCACACAATGATTAGAAAAATTTCCAGCTAGAATTCTCTATATAAACAATTCAATTACTGAAAATATTATGTCCCATATTATCATAACATGTCAAAAGAGTCATTTCTACCAAGCTGAGAAGTGACTAATTTTTAAATAATTTTTAAATAATTTCCTTATCTCATTTCTTTTTGTATTTCCTATATTATCAACTTCAAATAGACATGTGTGCATTGAACCCACAGATGAACAATATTAAAGGTGTATTTGCATAGTTTATAATTCAAACTATCATGTTACAATTGCAATATATTCCGATGTAGTTTAGCTTGTATTTATACCTTCTAGTACAACAAAAAAATGTTAAACATTAAAGTCACTGCTACTTTTTAAAGGTCATTCTTTGATACCGGATACTCTTCAGTCATTTCTTCATAAAATACGGTTGATACAATTGGTAACAGTTGCTAATGGTAACAAATGAACTTACATCCACTTCAGAAGGTGCAGTCAAGTAGCAAGGGTTCTGTTTCCACATATCCACGCACTGGAAGATGAACAATCAATATTAATGTGTTAAATGTTTTAAATAATTAATAAATATTTAAATAAGTAATAAGTATAGCCACCTATGCCTCAGAACACTTACATTTCCAGCTTTAGAAATTTTGAGGTCATACTGCTGGGCTCCTTTCCTCTCCTTTCTTTTCTGTAAGTAGTCAAGTAGTCTGAGCTGAGGTGGAGTTGAATAGTGAGTGACCTCCTGCTGTCTGTTCAGAGATGACCTTGAGTACCTTTTGAAGCACCTATGGTAAAATGACAGATAAACTTGTAAAACCATCAAAATGAAATTCCCCGCTGCTTGTATACAAACAAAAATATGCAGGGAAATGCTACTTACATTGAGACTAAAAGGTTTTGAACTGTTATATTTGCTATTCTGGATTACACCATACAACTCAAACTCTTATTTTCATGTTTTTAAAACTACTAGTATTCTCTTCATGTGTTCCAGCACTAAGAATGAGGTTATTTTTGAAATGTATAATTGAAGTACACTGACAAAATGAGTAACTAACTGAAAAGTTGCCAAGTTTAAAATATTAGTATATCATCACAGATTTCAGTTCTGTCAAAAGATCTGTGTACTGCTTAAGTAACTACATAAAGCTATAAACACAGTAACTACCCTCCATTCTTTGTCTCATGCTAAACCCACTGGTACATTAATGCTCTTCTGGACTTTCATTAAACACTTTTGCTATTTTACTACTTCAATGTTTGTTGACCACCAAGCTCTAATTTTAAAGACAGCTTGCTCAATTTCACTATTTGTACTTTTTTAGGCATTACCACTAGTTCCAAATTAGCACAGTATTTCAATGCAAATCTAGTTTTAAACATTTCAGTAATTCTGACAGACCATTAGCACATTCTCATTCTACAGAGTGAATGCAACTCTTAGTAGAAAATGTGAACCATTTCAACCTTCTGTGGGGAAAAAAGCGAACAACTACACACAAAAGTGAAACAATTTCAACATTTTGTATATGGTGCATTCCACATCACTTTTAAGTTTTCTAAGATTCTAATAAGCTTACACTTTTGTTTAGCCTAAATAACAAACACACAAATAATTCCCTTGATTTCCTCATTTTAGGTGTAAACTTGTACACAGCTTTTAACAAACTAGAGACCAATATACAAGATAGCCACTTATGTATTTTCTATTACTGAGCTGCCATCTAATGGCTTACAAAACCCAGTCAGCTTACATCTGAATTACACAAAAAAGGACAAAAGCAAAACAGCAATGTAATGTTATTATGTTAAGAAAATAATATACATACACATTCTTTTGATATACAAAAATAAGCATTACAAGATCTACTAACTGAAATACAGAGCAATATTGAGCACTTAAGATAATACAATTTCTTGACTGTTTCTCATATTCCTAAATATTAAGTAGATATTACATGAGAAGAAAAATTTTCACATAAAGCATTGCTTATATTTTTCTTTGAAACACTTCATAAAATTTCAAATGTAGTCTCAACATGTTTCACACTGAAAAATACCGTTTCATGGGGCGAGTATTCATCTTCTGCTTGTTGTACAGGAGTCTGTTTGTAGTACAGGTCACTGCTATTGAAGGATCAAGACACAAAGGCTCTGCTGTAGCCAAAATAAGTTGGCTCTCAAGTAGGAGTTTGTCCTCCTGTAATATACACAGCTATAAATAAATCTAAAAATACAAAGACTTTTACACTAAGTTGATATACATACCTATGCATATGTGCACATTACCTTAAAGAAAACTGAAAAAAAAAAGTGTGTGGATAGTCAACAAAAGAAAATATCAAACAGTTAACTATCATTAACCATTATTATGAGTTACGGAGCTTTGGGTGGGGTTTCCAACAGGGAAATAAATCCTTCTGAAAAGCAGGGGGTATGCTGTGGCTTTTTGTTTGTGTTTTCTTTGTTTGTTTTAAACACAGTCCTAGTGGCAATGAAATCTATTTTCTATCAGTGACTTATATTGATGGACTAGCAATCATTCCCATAAAGATGATTCACCTGGGACTTTCAAATCCAATTCGAAATGGATTTGAGCATGATTCTGTATCTGAAATATAAACAAGCACATTGAGTACATAATGCTATTCAGCATTTAACTAACTATAACTGAACAACTGTAGTTATGTAGGATTCTCTTTACCATAACAGTATCAATAACAAAATGATGCTAGAGGTTCAATTGTGTCATTAGACCGCAACTGCTGTCCTGGAGCTGTATGTTGAAGATAAATGAAGTAAAGTAAACTAGTTAGAGCAACTCCAATACTGTCATTCTGCATTATCAAAAAATTAAGGTCTGACTCTACAAAATTTTTAGCTAATTCAATTGTTTTCTATGGCATCTTCTGGGAAGATACTATTAACAAGTTAATTGAGCAGCTCTGTGGAGCATGTACCATGCAGCAGTATGTGCATAACTGACAGTTTGAATTAATCACAAATATAATCAGTTTTGTTTATCAAACAAATAAAGAAATAATCTAAATTAATTTTATTTTATTGTGTATTTACAGCATCACTGTAAAGTTTTAAAATAACTGCTAACCCACCTGTGTCCATTTGTGGTTGTCACTTGTTATAGAATGAACATCACAAATTAAAGTCTGAGGAAGAAGACATAATGGCAATTAGCTTTCAACTAAATAGTAAGATTTCTTAACATAAGTTCAATCATAGTTCATATTCATTTTAGGAACTACCATAACAGTGTGGAATGACTTAAAACACTTACCTGCATTGTAGGACGCAAAAGAATGTGCTTGCTTTGGTACGTTGGAGACTTCATGTTACCAGACTGCCTATAGTCACGTATTTCTGCTATGACACATCCACAATGAAAAATATTAACCTAGTTGAAACAAAAATGCAACTTGTAAATAAACAAATACCTGCCTCAGTCCCTGGCTCCAAAGAGATGTCTTATATATCACAGAATATTCAGTGATGCTATGAATAAAACTAATCACTAATTTGGTCAGACCAGTGGTCTTCACTACATGTTTAGACATAGCTAAAATAAAAGCTTCAAATGTAGGGCTTTCATATGCCAGCAATGTAGTTTTAAGAAAATCCCATGTGACATATTTCATAATGACAAAGAACAAAGGACATTTTGTTAGGTCACAGAAGTTGTCTGGCAGCCTTAACCATAGCAATCTCTCTTCTATCACTTTCTCCCCAGTATTTTTTTCCCCCTATATAAAAAGAAAACATTAATCTGTGACATAGTTCCAAACACACAAGTGTTTTATTTCTTGTGGTTGGAATCACCTATGTGAAAGATTCAAAAAACAAAGGTCTGAGTACAAAACATTAGTTCTTTTGAGGACAAAATTTTCAAACCTGAGATTTTTCCAAAAGATCAACCAAAATAGGTGGTAGCTCCTCTGCATCCAAATATTCAAGCAGTTCTCCTTCCTCATAAGGCAGCCGAATGGTCTCAGAATCTATATTTAAACAAAACATATTGCTTTTGTTTTGCCTTTTAAATCCAAACTTCAATAAAAAGAAATCTAAAACAAGCTTGCCACAGGAAAAAGTAGGGCCAGCGGAAACCTATTCAAACAGGCATTCTTTTCTGCATTTCTACATC